GAAAACTAATTTTAGTAGATATCACTAAAAATATGTTAGGTTTCATTTCGTGTATATTCCCTTTATTTGTTTGTATGATGTGGGGAAGGGTTGTAGCTGGTTTGGAGAGAATAAGGGATTTTTCTATAAATCGTGGAGCCGAGTAACGGGTCTTTTTGCATTACCACAATCTAACTCACATGTGTTAGATGCAGACCAGATGGTCAGAAATAGAGGATGGCAGATGCCATGAAGATATTAATTTTTATTGTTACAATGGTTATACTCTAAGGCCCCCTGAGTTTTAGCTTAACCCGGGATGCCAAAATGTTAGGACTGGCCCTGGGCAGGCTTTCCGATATGAATCTGATGCCTGGATCTCGGGATTGGGCGGGGCTTGCGGATTGTCCAGCGGGGCTCATCGCTGACCGAGGCATCTCCTATGACATCGCCGTCCACGTCCGCCTCCATGCCTCTCCTGGCAGCGGTGCTCCTCGGATCCACACGTGCATGGCGTCTTCAACCGTCGGTTCAACCAATGGCAGTGGACCAAGCTCCAGGAGGAACTCGCCGTGCCCAACCGCCGGTCCTTCCTCAACACATCCACCGGCGAGTGTGTCCAGGTGGACCCTCGAGCTCCATGTCCACAACCTGCTCGGCCTCACCACTGAGGGCCTCGTCATCCTGATCCATGAACCCAAACATGTCCGCCTACTCAACCGGCTTACCCTCCACCTCCTCACAGACCTCCCACCAGTTGCCATGCTGATGCCTCCAGAAGATGGCCTTCTTGGCATGCTCTGCTCTTTGAATGGCTTAACTGCCAGTGGCTCTGGAATGGCCTCAACAGTGGTGCTCTGCTTCAACGAATTCCACATGTTTGGTATGACCATGCCTTGCGATGGCCAGTGGATGTCACTATCCTACCATGATGATTGGTGGGAGTTAGCACCCATAATCTTCGTAGAATGCTTCTACTGCGTCAATCAAGGTGCTCTCATGGTGCTGGAGATAAGCCCACCACGGCTGGAGGTGGCTTATAAGCTGCATATCCTGGTTTCCCACGAAAGAGATACCATGCACCTCAGGGACAACTGCTGGTTCACCGCATGCTCTCTGGCCCCCATCGATAATCTTAGGCCGAGCTATGACCTGTATCCGGCAGAACTAGGCGCAAGGACACTATTCCTGGTCAATAGCCTAGGTGGAGGTCGAGCATTCTCATGGGCATGCATAATTTACTCTCTGTACCTATCAAGGTTTTCCCCTCCGGCTCAATCACCGGTGGCACCATTTACCCGAGCTTCGAAATCAACAAGGGGTACAAGGTCGAGGCTTACCATCTTGTTGATAAAAGCATCACATCTGCCGCCAACTCCATCCTGGATGGCTTGTCAACACAGCCACAGACTCTTGTGGACTGCCTCACCATTAGCTGTTAACGCTGAATATTGTGTTCCATCACCTGGCTTTAGGTTATCTTGTTATTATTTAGTTATGGCTGTTCTTCTTATTTTTGCTGGTTGCCATTGTGTTAGCTGTAAGCATGGGTTTCCTTGAAGCCAAACCCTTCTTTTTATGTTTCATTGTGAAATTAGGTTAGTTAAAAAACAGAACGAAAAACCAGTAGCAACAATGTGATGTGAGACACTGTCCAAACAAGCCCCTGTCTTGCATTACCGGACGAGTTTCCATCTTGAACTCAAACTCTTTGAAAACACATTACTTATTTTACTTTTTTTCTTTCAAGAATCATCATTGAGGAGGCACAATCATATAACTACAGTTCAGAAATCTGAATTCTAATTTTATCTCTGCTCCTTTGTGGACCCTTATAAAGTTGTTTTGTGATCTTGAAAGAATTATCAAGTTTTTTGGTAATTATATAGATCGGTTTAGTTGTAGCTTACTGTTTGTCTTTCTCACTTATCACTGTACTGCTTGTTCTAGCATTATTTTTTCTGAGGGTAGTGTCAAGACGGGTGGTATTGAAAATGGAAGATGCAGTCAGCAATCCTGATTTTGAATCATTTTTTCCAGTTTCTTGTGCAGATAGCAATCAGTTTTAAGAACCTTGCTAAAATCATTGTCATCTTTCTGAAAATAGTGAAAATACTAGTTTATGGCTTTATGCTTATGCTTTAATCCTTTCTTTCTAGGTAATGTACGGTTCATATTTAAGAGTTCTTCATGAAAACTTGTACTGCCACTTCTGGTATTAGTTTTGGAGTTTGGGGTTATAATATCCAATAATTTGTGTCTTAGTTTGCCATTTACACCTTGCGAAGAGGAACCAGAGCAAAAGGTAGGGGAACTATTGACACAAAAGAACGTTCTTGGCAGAGTAAACTGAACCATGGAAATGATTCGTATCACGGTCCTCGTATGGATCACACGAGTGGACGAATACTTTGAGTTTAACAAGCCAGGAACTACATGCCTAATTTAGCTCAGGAACCTCGGGATCCTTTTTGACAACTTATCATACGACAAAAAGTTTGCAGAGATAAATTCTACAACCTGAATTACAGTACTTATATCTTTCAAGCTCACGTGAATAACAGGAGTTCCGCAAGGCGCAGCGGTTAACATAACTGGACGTCAGGACATAACATTATAAGAAATCAAATGGCTGGCTGCAACATACTTATTTCTTTCAAGCTCACGTGACATACGTAGAGGGTCAGCCAGCAAGGAGTGTAGCGGCCGTAAGAAGCAGGATGGCGAGGAGCAGTGACAAATGGCTCGGTGCTGCGGCTGCAGAGCGCGATGGTGGCGACAGTGGTGGCGGCAGCAGTGGCGATGGAGGCGGCAGCGGTGGCGACGGAGGCGGAAACGGCTGATGGTCGATTGGCGTTGGTGTGGTCGGCAGCCCGTGCTCCGGACGGTCAAGATGAGGAGATGGCGGAGACGGACTCCGGGCAGCCTCAGCTGCAGCGCATATTAATTAGTTGTAGTTCGCACAAGAAAATATGGTCGGCGTAGAATAAAATAGATGCAGCATGCATATATACCGAAATCGAATAGCTTGGCCGGGCGGTACTTACGCAGTGGAGTATTACTTACCTACACAAGGCGCACCATACACGATTGGGACACATGTGCGCGGCTCCGTGACTAGTCCTGGAAGCTGCTGGGTCTGGGTCTGGGTGGTGATCAGCCCAAGCAGTAGCAGGAGGAGAAGAACAGAGAGGCGCCTCTGCTGCTGCATCGCTAGCTGTTGAGGTTTTGGAGGTAGAAGTAGCTAGAACCTCTTCTCAGGCAAGACTATATATATATGCATGTCGTTGTTGCGGAAGTGACTGAAGGATGGAGATTGATCGAACTAAGATCGAGTTGATTGATTAAGCCCAGTAAAACTAGTATACTAGGGCACCACGGTTCGATTCGTGTGTGGTGTGTGGTGTGTGATGCGTCCAGCATGCGTGTACCATGGAGTCAAACAAGCGATGTCATACATAACCCGTAGTACCGCCGCACCAGCTATACACGCTGGTTGTTGAGCTACCCTCCTTTGCTGCTGCGAACATTATTTGATGCCGATTTTGTGGGACATCTTTTCCTATCAGTTACAACAGAATCTGTGGGACACTAGCTAGTACAGCCTATATCATTTCACGTGGTAGTACTTGTTTTTATACGTCTGCAAGCCAGGAGGAAGTTAGAGAGAACGGACGGACGTGCAATCATCTTTTGGGTGGCCGCTGTTCGTCGTGGCAACGTGGGAGGGAAGGCAACGGGAGCAGGGCAAGGGAGAAAATAAATAAACGGACGGGCTGCATTTTTGTCCTAATTTGATGTTCTAGATGTTATATATTTCTATATACTACAAAAAATGCAGGACATTGATTATTTTGAAGTGGAGTTAGTACTAAGAGCATCTACAACCACGGGTAGTACCTTATTTGAGTTATCAAACGCTCGCGTACGAATCCCGGTGTGTCCACGGACAGTGACCAGACGAACCCCATATTGCAACTCTAACAATCATAGTATGCATTTTTATATTAGCATTTTCGTACAAAACCATGTAAAAGGCTCCTTGTCTAACTCCAACTCGACGCAGAACCCATCGATTTCCGCCCTGCAATGGTGGAGGGTAAGGCGGTTGCCCTCCACCTGGGCCTCGGACTTGAAGGAGTCGAGGATGGCCTGCTGCTCCGTCGCCTCCTCCGCCTGGGCCAGCTCGAACTCCGCCATGGAGTTGCCCATGTCGGAGCCCCCAGGCGCTAGATTTGCCTCCATCACCTCCTCCGGCTCCTCCTTCTCTGCGCCCTCCTCCTCCGGTTCTGCCTTCTTCGCGTCCATGGCAGCATCCTCCTACTCCTTCGACGGCTGCGGTGAATCCGAAGGCAGGCCAGCAGCGATCCAAGCATCTCGCCTGGCCCGGATCTCCTCCGATAGCTGCAGCCGCCGCTTCGGTGTCAACATAGCATAGGTGGTGATTCTTTGCCAGGCCACGGCTAGCAGCCGACAATGAGCAGAAGGATGATGGAGACATGGAGGGGACGGAGAGGGAAGAAATGGGGACGGACGGGCTGATGGTGTCCTGGACGAAGGGGTGCCAACCTATACGGCCCATAGTCCATCCGCCAGGCTTATGGCCTTTCGATCACTAAAAGGATGGACTATTGAAGCTACAGACCCGGTGTGGTCTAGATGGCATATTGACATCCGACCATATGTGTAAACCTAGGTACTCTCGTGCATATATAAGCCGAAGGGTTTAGTCTTTAGAGGCATGATTACCAGCCTTAGGGTTTAGAACACAATCATCCGATCTCGAGGTAGATTATCTTGTACTCTATACTCCCTCACATTAATACAATGAAAGCGGGACATAGGGTTTATCTCTTTAAGAGGGCCTGAACCTGGATAAACATTGTCTCCCTTTTTTCCAGCTACCATTGTTCCTAAACCTACAGCTCAAGATAGCCTACCCGAGATCCGCCGGTTGTAGCACCGACATTGATGGCCCATACAGGTCATGCTATGTGGTCAAAAAGGATGAATGGCTCGTCTCCAGATTAATAGTGACATTAGCTGCAGCAAAATCTTCATCCCAGGCCAACTGTTCCCGTTCGGTAGCATGGTCCTTCACGCCGATCCCGCCGGACACCTCGGCCGGGTCGAGTACTTCGCTCCAAATCTGCTCATCAGATTTGGAAGCTTTAAATACACTGCCGATTCTCACGCGATCTTGCCCTTTCTGGCTGAACGCCAGATCGGTTGGGGCATTCCACCGACACCGCGACTTTAACCACGGACTCGACCTCGAATCCGGACCAAGGATCAGGTCACGCTCCGGAACTAGCATCGAGTTCAGATCGAAACACATCAGTATCAGACCAGGCCCATGCCCTGGCTAATCCTCGCTCTGAAGTCGTGTCACCCTCTTCCTTGAGCATAGTGCAAGTTAGCCCCGCCTACTGCCAAGAGATGGGCCCAATATACCTCTCGCTTTCGAGCGAGATGCTAGACCAAATCCAGAATATCGGGATTCCGGGGTCAGTCCTCAGTTTATGATCAGATCAGATGTAAATCCGATCATAGGGAAATTTATGTCCGCCTACCACACACTTAGTTACTATAGTCGAACATTTAACCAACGTACTGGACTATGCCTCCAAGGAGGCAACTGACATCGATGAAGATGTTAATCATTCGTCCGGCGCTGCTCCATCCAACACAGGCAACTGGATGGGAACCTCTACCTACGAAGTCTACATGGTGGATACCCCCAAGGACGACAAGGAGGAGAAGAAAAAGGATCCCCCAAACACCGACGGAAGCACTCTATATGCACCGGTAAAGGGGACGCAAGCTACAACGACAACGATAATGTCACCTTTGGTAATAACACCACCCCGGGCGGCGCCGAGGGCCAAGGCAAATGCGATAATGCCACACCCGGTCAAATCGACGGCACCGCATGGACGGAGGGCCACGACGATCCAGAGGACAGTAACCACATGCCAGAATTGGAAGATGATGTAAGCCTTGGATCCAAGGGGTTCGAAGTTCCCAAGAACCTCCTTGAGTTGGAAAAATTTCTACGGTGGCTCGCTAGCATCGCCCGAAGTATTAAAGGGCGCGAGACACTTAGCCAACCAGGGCACACTCAATGATAAGTGGGTGGAGGTCCTTGCAGCTGAAGAAGACCTCAAGCAAAGACGCATAGATTCAATCAAATTCTACACGCGATGTCGTCTGCTTCCATCATTAGATGATGAAGTTGACGGCAATCTACCCTATAAGCATGACCGCCCCGACAGCCCGACTGCCCTCCCAAAGGGCGGGATATACCAAAGGATGGGCTTCGAGACCCCCCTACAATACCTCGCCATGAAGGCAGAGATCCGATCCCATCTTCTCTATTGTATGATCTGCGGGAAAAACTAACCGCACAACCTGCTCCATCATGATCCATATATTGATCCAGAGACCGCATGCCTGCTGGACAGACCGGGTATCAAGCATGGATTGAAAAGCACGATGGGGCTCGGGACGACACATGTGTTTGGACAGCAACAGATGTCCGGGAAATGATAGCTCGGGCCAGAGGAGCTGCGTACCTGATGTGCTTTACAGATGAGGTCATGCATCATCAATTCCCAGAATGATTTACACCGGTCAACATCAAACAATACGATGGAACCACTGACCCGGTGGTGTAGATGCAGGATTCCATCGCCACATCCATATGGCTCGAGGATATGATCTCCAAGCCATTAAATATCTACCGTTGAAGCTTAAAGAACCAGCGAGGCACTGGCTCAATAGCTTGCCCGAGAAATTTATCGGCAGCTGGGAGGAGCTTGATCATGCCTTCCGAGTTAACTTCCAAGGCAGCTATTTTCGGCCACCCGATGCCGATGACCTAGGTCACATCATCCAGCAACCTAGCGAAGCTACTCAAAAGTTTTGGAATCAATTTTTGACCAGGACGAATCAAATCGTTGATTGTTATGACGCAGAAGTGATTGCCGCTTTATGGCGCAACATTCGTGATGAATGGCTGGCGTGATAACTCGGACAAGACAAGCCAGAGACAATGGTGGTTGGGGAGGATAGCTGGATGGCTCGCAGTACCAGCCACGACAGCGACCACGGTACCTAGGAAGTATGCTATGGAAGCGGGAATCCTCGATGTAATAAAAACAATAAGCATCGCCATAAAGGCAATGACACTGACACCGATGAGGCGATTGTAAATGCGGGTTTAGCAATCAATGAAGAAGCCAGAAGAAGAAGCCCTACGTTGGACAAGATCCTCAACAAGCCTTGCCAAATCCACGACAATTCGGACAAACCTGCTAATCACTCAAACCGGAATTGATAGGTCATAAAGCAGGCCGGCAGATTGCAGTCGACAACCCGAGAAGGAGCCAGCCTCGTAGTGAGAACGAGGATGAAACCCCTAGGCCAAGCAATGGAGGCCAAAAGAAATTTCCTCCTAGTGAAGGATGTGAACTTGATTTATGTCACCCACATCCCTAAAAGGGAGAGAAAGCGTATGCTACACGACGTTTTTACGCACTAGATCCCGTAACGTCGAAGTACAATCCATGGTGGGCTTTCCCGATCACTTTCGACGGGATAGACCAAACAACCAGCATCCGTCATGGAGGAACTGTGGCATTGGTACTCGATCCCATAGTGGATAATTTCCATTTAACACGAGTCCTTATGGACGACGGCAGCCGTATCAACCTGAGTTACGCTGACAAGGTCAGAGAGATGGCATTGATCCATCAATGATTAAACCCAGTAGCACCACTTTTAAGGGTATCATACCAGGTGTTGAGGCAAAATTCTCTGGGACCATAACCCTGGAAGTAGTCTTCGCCTCGCACGAGAACTTCTGAAGTGAGGACTTGATCTTCAACATCGTTCCTTTCCACAGTGGCTATCACGCACTGCTCGAGCGAACTGCTTTTGCTCATTTCAAAACTATCCCACATTACGCTATCTAAAGCTAAAGATGTCGGGACCAGCGTCGTTATAACAACCAATTGCAACACCGAATGCTCCCTCCGTACGGAGGAGCAAACTTCGGGTTTTGCAGCCGAAGCGCAGGCTGCCCATGAGGCGTCAAGGCCCATCAAGGCAACAAGCACACGGAGCTCCTTCAAGCGCTTCCGAGGTGTTGTTTCGCCTCCACGCAATGAAGCAGCAACCTTAACTAGGGTACGCGCCCCACGGCTCTCC